AGGTTTGCTTATGTTTACCAACTGGTCAGGTTTGCTTATGTTTACCAACTTGTCAGGTTTGTTTATGTTTACCAACTTGTCAGGTTTGCCTATGTTTACCTACTGGTCAGGTTTGCTTATGTTTACCAACTGGTCAGGTTTGCCTATGTTTACCTACTGGTCAGGTTTGCTTATGTTTACCAACTGGTTAGGTTTGCTTATGTTTACCAACTGGTCAGGTTTGCTTATGTTTACCAACTGGTCAGGGTTTGTTGATGATTAAAACTTGTATGAATATGTAGCAGTGGTATCTATTCTTTGACTCGTAATATAGCAATTAATCTAATTTACATTTACCTATCTTTTAAAAAATCTATTTTCATTTGTGTATAGTGGTTAATAGATATTTTTTGTTAAAAGTTGAATGCAGTGTTGATGGGATGAGCCGCAATCCTATAGCCATGAAGAAAATAAGTGAGATTACAGGGGTTAACATTGTCATGGGAACCGGATTCTACCTTGCCGGGAACCATCCACCAGATATGGACCACCGAACTGTAGAACTAATTGCAGATACATTATTATCAGAAATTAATGAGGGGGTTGACGGTAAGAGTTAAATCTAAAATTTACTAAACAAAAAAAACTTACAAATGGTGTTTATTAAAGCAGCCAAATCTTATAGAAATATTGACCCTGGCCAAGGTCACTATACAGATTTGTATATTGACCAAGGCTTGAGTCAATTGTATTATTACCTGATACTGACCGATATAGTCATGTAATATGCCTAACCCAATCACATTCAAACTTCACACATACATCATAGTATACATATAATTGTTGATTCGTTTCGTGATCTGATTCAAGATGACAAAATAGTGGTCATTTTAGGTTGAAAATTTATTTTAACCAGATCTTGGTTATGTATAGAAAGATTTCATTCAAACTTGGTGCATACATTGCACATAATAAGACCTTGATGCATGTTATTTTGTTTTTCAGATGTCACTGGCGGCCATTTTTTTAGCGCATGCTGTTCATGAACTATATCTCTCTCTGACTTGCCTTGACCAATCAAGTTAATGAATTCATATAAGTACATCATTTATCGCATACATACATGTACTTGTTTGATGATCAGATTCAAGATGGCTGAATGGAGGCTATTTTAATGTTAAAATTAGTCAGAAACAAGCATTTCTGCCATTCCGGCCACAGATCCCAGTTATACAAATGTACATGAACATCTATTGTCCATTTTGGTTCATACAGTGATCAGATGCTAGTAGCATGTGGAGATATCATTCAGTAGCAGTTCATTGTATTGAGATCATAAGGCATAATAGTGAATTAACAATACTGCTTATTTAAAGGTGGTATATGTGCTGGAATCATTGGAGAATTGGGTTGCTCTACCAATCTGGCAGAGAATGAAATCAAAGTATTAAAAGCAGCTGCAATAGCACAAAGAGAAACTGGGTTACCTATATCCATTCATCCAGGTATGTGAGCAAACAAGGTTTTCTGTATCAAGTAATCAAGGTATGTGAGAAACAGGGTTGTATATA